AAAAATTAAAAATTAATATTTTTAAATAAAAAATTAAAATTTAACATTTTATTTAAAAATTAGTTAAATTAAAATTTTTAAATAAAAATAAAAAATAAAAAATTTACTTCCTTATTTACTCATTTTCTTACCATTCAACTCTTCAAGTATTAACATTTCCAATATAGCCTTCAACCTTCTCAAAAGCTGTTGGAACTTCTAACGTTAGTTTGCTTAAAAGGTAGCATTTTTAGGGAAAGTGATTGGTTAAAGTATTGTATAAAAAATTAAAATATATTGTATAGAAAGTTATTAAATTTTATAATAAAATTTTCTTAAATTGTTAATTTTGTTTTCTTTGATAGCAAATTGACATAAGAAAAGTTAGCAAAGAAAGTTGTTAAATAAATTTTATATGGAAAAAATTGTAGTATTTGGGGAACTTTTTCTTTGAAAATAGGTGAGAAGAAAATTTTATACGTTAAGAATTGAAAAAGAGAAAATAAAGATTAAAAATATATTTTTATCATTTTTTATTATAATTTTAAAGTATATAAGTATTAAAATACCTTTATAAAATCTTAAAGGGATACATTTTTCAAGAAAATAAACCAAACACCTCCTAAATTTCTCCAACTATCCTGTTTTATTATTATATACAAATAAAAATTAGGACTTCTTGAGATTTAAAAAATTTTAAGACATTTAATCCTAACCACACTTAAATAAGATTAAAATAAAAAAAATAAAATTTAAGTGATATTTACATTATATATCACTCATTTTATTATGGTAATTAAACATCCTATATTTTTAAGGTTAATGCAAATTGTTTTTCAGCAATCTCGTTCTTTTTATTATTCATATGAATTAAAAATAGGGATGACAATTCCTGCTTGTAAGGGTGGGATTCCTGTGAGGATTTTTAAGGTCTGTTTGGTTACTTTAGATCTCTCAAAAGGCATATGAGGTAATTGACCAAAAATTAACTCGGGTTGGCTTAGAAAAATACATTTTTTGACATAAAAATTGAGGTAAAATATAATTAATTATAATAAATTATGTAAGTGATTATATAATAATATAATTGATTACAAAAAGTATATAATGTTAGTGTCCATCAATTTTAACTCCTTAAAAAATTAAAGTCTCAATTTACATTTCAAAATCAAAATCTTAATTTAAAATTTTAATTAGTTTTTCAATCTAAATATTAACATTTAATATGGATAAATTTTTAAATTTTGAATTAAATTTTAATTAAATAAAATAATATACTTTAATATTGAACTTTAATTTATTTTGAGAATTAAAATTGAAATGCACTTTTTTTTCATAATATGTAATTAATAATAAAAATATAATCATTTATTTCCAAGGATAATCAATTATAATTACTTTCTAGCTAAAAAGACTCTGAAAAAAAAGTTTCTTAAAAAAGTTATCATATATCAATTATACAATCTATTATAATCAATTATACCACACGTGAATTTTTGTATCAAAAACTTTATTTTAAAGCCAAAGTTGAGCTTTTTTTTTGGTTGGATACCCCAGATTTTTTTTCTGAGATCCATGGTAATCAAGCTGGCCGAGAGGGAAATTCCCACTTCTTGTTATGTCACTGTCGGGTGTTTGGATTACTTTCTTGTCTAATTTCATAATTTTGTAAGGTTTTTTTAGTATTTATATATTTTAAAATTATAATAAATAAAAAGTAAAAATAGTATTTTTAATTTTTATTTTTTTAATATAATTTTTAATTTGTAAACTTTTATTATTAT